ATCATATAATTTTAGAGAGAACCAGATTTTATTACTTTTTTCACTAATTTTTTTTTTTTTTAATCTGAAAAATTAGAGCAATACTTCGAATACAAAGAATACGGATTTGAAAATTTTCATATTTAAACTTCAAACATTTAGATGTGGACTTTTGTGTAAAGAAAATTTTAGAGTTGGAACTTCAAACATTTAGATATGAAATTTTGTAAAAAATAAAATTTCAAAGTGAGATAGAACCGTGGAAGTTTCTGAAGAGAGAGAATTTATGCTAATGGTTTATCAGTTAGGAGGCTAGTATAATAATTATATATAATAAGAGACCCAAAAGGAAGTTAGCAGAAAAATAGTAATTAATTATGGGGAAAGTAAATACACACGTCAACAGCTAAACGACTGAGATTCCATCGCGGGGCGACTGTGATTAGCACCCCTCTTGGTAATATTATGTGTTTTGATACCGTAACAGAGAAACTAAAGTAAATTTCTGAATTTTTAAAAACAAATTTTCGTTACCAAACAAAGTTCAAAACACTCCAACAATACGGTTGTTTTGGTCTGCTTTCACATTCAATTGAATTAACATGAATAAACGACTTTTTTTGACCTATTAATCATAGTTTGCCATTGAATTCTAATTATGATAATTACTTTTTCTATTTAATAATTGTTACTCTTTTTTATCTTATATTCTCTCTATTATATCTTATATTCTCTCAAGGATAGCTACATCATTGGTCGAGTTATTTTTGTGATACAATAATTTGTGAACAATCATACTCCTTTATTTACTTAGAATTTTAAATTAAGTTTCTTCTATTGGTTTTTAATTATTATGTTTTGTTCGGTACGGCTTTCTATTCTGAATTAGAAAGATAATAGAATAGAAAAGGTAAATTATTTCATTAAAAATGTATTATATATATAAAAAAATTAATGTAAAACTCTTTGTACTTACTTAGTTAGTATAGATATATATATATATATATATAGATTATTGGTTATGAAAAAGATTGCTTGACACTTGTTAGCTTTAATTATTATTATTATTATTTTTTTAAGACTTGAAAGGGGGAAAAAAAATGTATATATGTATAGACATGAAACTTACATGATGTGCATTGAAAGAATATTTGATACAACTATTTTATTTTGCTTACAAAGGTTAATTTTAAATTATCATTTTGCCCTCCAGGGATGGCAATTCCCTCCGCGTGCTTCCGTCCAGCTCCACCTCTAATGGGGCGAATTCGGTAGTCTCCTTAATGGGTTTGAGACGGGTATGATAAAATAATTGAAAATTCGAAACGAGTTTGGAACGGAATTTAGTGATTGAACCCATCCGACCCCGCCCCAATTATATATGTAACTTTAGATTATATATAAGATAAAGTACAAAAAACTCCACTCGACTTGTAACTTTTTTTAATAAACCCTTATCTATTTTTTTATCAAAAAACCCCCCTCAACTTTCTGGAAGAGGTAAAGTAGTGAATCTTGGACCAAAATATCTTTTTATGTAAATTTAAATTACTTGAACTTCAAAAATTTATATCTCACAAACTACAAGTCTAAATATTGCAAATAATATATGCACGGAAAACTTATGAAATAAGGATTTCAGAAATATAATATTTGTTCAACAAAATACCATAACCGGACAGAAATAGGCAATTTAAATATGTAATGGAACAACCTTATTTTATTTTTTGAAAATATACTCGAAATATTTGCAAGAAAATTTTCAGACTTATTCATTTATATATGGAGCATAACATATAAAAAAATTAGCTCCAATAGAGACCAATTTCATTAGATATCATATTTGGTGTCAAAGTATTTTTATTTTTGTACAGATTCAGCGTGTGATTAAAATAAAAAAAAATCACTCAAACAGTCTAGTGGAGCTGTGGTATCGGATCAAATAAGTGTTAGTTTTTGCTAAAGAAAAAATAAAAATAAAACGACATTAGATCACTCAACAGTTTCAATCATCAAAATATCATTTATATTGTGTCACAATGTTATCTTAGAATGTGTGCTACGACGAACCAAGTTTTTGTACACACCCACAAATACAAAAAGTTGATATATGTGTTTCCATGGATTGTTTATAGCATTATTTATAGCAATCTGTTATACTACATCATCGTTATAATAATTTCTCGTAAAAGAGCTAGAGAGAAACCAGAAGGGTCTTTCTCTCTCCTTACTTTCCTTTTTTGTTTTTTCTTCTAAAACCTAATGCTTATGTAATAGGAACTTACTTCCTCTTCACTGTAAGTTTATAACTTTCACATATCTCTAAAGTTTCCTAATCCGACTGAAGAGCCCCTTAACAGCATTACTCTATTTGTTTCTAGAGTCAAAAGTTTGCGCTATTTGCTCAACAATTTGGTAACAAGAACTTCCAGCAAATTATGAGTTTGAGCTCACTTTCTTCTATATAAACAACTTTCGAAAGAAAACTAAACATGAACTCAAAAATAAAAATAAATAATTCAAAAATAAACTTCAGAAATTGACTTTGTGAGAATCAGTCATCTCATCTCTTGTTCCCGCTTTTTTTCTGTCCTTGATATTGCCAAGGGGTGAAACAATGCTCTCCAAAAAAGTGTCCGCATCACCGAATTCAATAAAACGAGTCTCTGCATCATCAAATTGAGTCGTCTCTGCATCATCACATTGTTGAAGACCACGCAATTGAATATCAACTGTATAATAGGGAATTTCAAGATAGCTATGCGTATTTTTTTCTAGATTAAATACGAGTAACAGCGGATTGACCACATACAGAATTTGATCCTTCTTCGAGAAATCCAAAGGCTTCGCTTGATACCTCGGAATGGTAAAGCCGAGCTTAGTCCAAGACTCTCTCTTGCCGTATTCCTTCATCACCCAAAATTCACTAAAGAATGTGATACGCTCTAGTCTAGTGACGCAGACACAAAGACGTCCTCGAAGAACCACGACCAAGTAAGCTTCACACTGTGTTTTAAAATCCGGTAAAAGAAAATCTCGAAATTTTTCCTCCGCTAAATCAAAAGAAACTATCTTGCTCGTATCCTCGGATAACCTAAGAGGGCTGTCTTCAAACCTTCTCCAAGAATCTGTTTTCAGTGTATATAAACTCGTTATACACGTGCTTCTATCATCGGAATTTCAGATGTGGATAACCTTGTAGTCATCGGTAGACGCATCGTAGCCGAACCCATACGAATCACGTTTTTTACTTTCGAAAGGGAGGTGTATTCTATTGACTTCTCTAGTCGAAGGATTCACCAGGTGAAGTTCGTGTTCACCACCGAATAGAAAAATTAAACATAATATCAACCCGTCACAAGAACCCACGAACTTGACCGATTCAGCTGTCTCGAACTGAAGTGTAAAATCCACGTCGTGAATCGTACTCCGCTCATCAATGTTGCCGGAGAATATGACTTCCGACCATGAAAAAAGTTTTTTATGCTTGTGGGATCGACGTAGGTGCATCTACGCAAAGTAGGGATCAGTGAACAAAGAGAGCCAAGACTTTGACACAGACTTGGAACGTACAAGAGACTTGGCGGGCAGTCGTGAGAGTATGTCCATTATGAGATCCTTGGATAGGAACTTGATGGGTGATGAGTCTGATGGCTCTTCTTTTCTTTCCATGATCTCCATAGCCTTTCTTCGAGCTTCTTTGATAGAAACATTAGTTTGAAACTTGGTTGTCTGCGTCTTTTCAATTTCTCAATACACACGTAGAGTCAGCAAGAAGATTATATATGGCAAGTTTCCAATTCCAATACGAGAAAGGACAAGACGATTATATATGTCAAGTTTCCAATTCCAATACCGGAAAGGAAAGGAGAGAAGAAATAGGACTTCCTAAAATTGACCACACTAGCTATGGCTTGTGAGAAGATCAAGCAAGCCGGCCGCCGTATTTACTGCTTTTCCAGAGTCGCTTTAAGAAATCATCACGACAAAAGTCACACAATTCATCCAAATAGATGCGTTCCCGGGCGCTTCCATTTCCGCTACCTCTGTGCGACTTAAATAGGGGTGCCACAAACACCCAAAGTTGGGTTGGACAAGTCCAATGTCACTCAAATATGTGTTTTCAAGTAACCCAAGGTCAATTTATTTCGGGTTGGATGGGACCCATTCAATCCTTTTTTTTTTTTTTTTTTCATCAAATATGCAAACTACATTGCTGTTTGAAAATATCCATTTTTCTTTTTTCTTTTTTCTCAAGTCCATTGGTATTATAACTTAAGTATTCAATTATTAATTTTCGTGTGCTTCCAATTCTAATTTTATTTCATTAATACAACAAAAATAAAACTTATCTTATTTTAATTTTATTTTGTCAAACAAATATTCTAAAATCACATTTTTGGTTTCCTCGGCTTGAAAATCAATTTTTTTCCAGAAAAATTTAGTTTAGCATTGCAAAGACATCTATACATCACCTGAACTTTTATGCGGAACAAAAGAAGTAAAATTTTGTTTCAAAATTATACAAGAGTTAAAATGGTTCTCGGTTCAACGGAAAATATATATATATATAGAGTTCTGATAATTTTCATTCACACTATGATTTGTAAAAAATATATCAGAAACAAAAAGGCAACAAGATGAAGTATCTTGGAAGCCAGGCAGACCATACATTCCCAGAACCTCTTTGGCTTGGTAATAAATTTAATTTGGATTTAAAAAAAAAAAAAAAAAAAATTAGATTTTGAGTTGGGTTTTGAGAAAACCCAACCCAATTTGAGCCCAATTTGTGAATTTCAAATCCCAAGTTTCAAAATTTTTGAGTTAAGTTCGAGTTGTGCTGGATTAGCCCGTCCAAGTTGCACCCCCCACTTCAATTCGACCACTAATGGTAGCACATAAATTTTGAAGGTTTAAAACCAAAAGGCACTCACTAATGCAACACCACGACTGATATTAATATACAAATTTACAGGAAGGTAAAACTCAGAAAACTATATTTGAAAGTCCATTTCAATAAATAAATTAAAAAAAAAAAAATACATGTTAAATTAAGAGTACTCAATCCACCAAAAATACATATATAGTACACCTACAATGTGAAGATCTATCTGAATCTCTTAAAGTTTATCTACATTCAATAGTCTTCTGCTTTATCTAACACAACAAATAATTTCTTGGACCAAAGATGGTGCTAGACCTATATGTATGACTGATCACATCAACAAAAAGGGGAAATTGTAACAAAGCAAACAAGATTACAGGAACACTTGCAACTAAAGCCATTGGAATGCCAATCCAGTCCAATCCCTGGCTAAGAACAATAAAAAGGGTGGCACAAAAAGATATCATCATGGTGGCAATTGAGATGAAGAGGGTAGCTAGTCCCATTACTAATCTGTTAGGTAATGAGTCAAGAAAATCTTCTTCAGCGTAGCGCGAGGTTAGAATAGACAGGAACATCAATATTGAAGTGGCAGACGAGAATAATGCTAATGCATCTGAAACGGCAAAAACCAAGAAGGACTTCTTTAATATAAAATTAGGACTTCCTGTATTATCATTATCGCCACCTGGTACAGTGAAGGCAGCAGCAAACATCACCGTGGCAATGAGCGTTGCAACAACCATGCATGAAGATGCAGTATCCTTCATCCACTTCTCTCCTTCATACACTAAACTTTTGTGCTCCTCTGTAAATACAACCTGAGGTGTCCTCCCCTCAGAGTCTCTCATTTCGGTATATAGGGGTTGGACAATCTTTTCTACCTCCTGCAATCGTAAGGAGGCATCAGAGTTTGAGAGAAAGGAACTTAACAACTTTTTGGCAAGAAGAACGTATGTTAATAAATTTAAAACACGTGATGCTTCTGCTTATTTAAATCTCTAGTTATTTTCTGCACCTTTTGAAAAGTCGGTGCAATAGAAAAATATATATATATTTCAGATCCTTAATACTTTTATTTAAAAAAAGTTCATTAAAGTTTATATAAGACTTTTCTTTCTTTTTCTTCTTTGAAAGAAAAAATGTACAATGCAGTGTGTTGAGGTGAAATAAACCTTGAACCAGTGCAACTCCCGTCGCAATTGCAAAGCAGCACCAGAATCAGTTTTCAGTCTATTCGGAGGTGCTAGCTTTCCAGCCAAATGTAACATGTTGTTATTGTTTTCATCTTTATAAGCTGCAATCAAATCCTTATGAGCTCCTATCTCATATATGAGGTTAAAAATATTTTCCTGGCGATGGGCCACTGCAATGTGAAATATGCTTCGACTTTTATCATCAACTTTCCAAATAAGATCGGGATATGATCGAATAAGCACGATTACGAACTCCACAATTCCTAGCTCAGCAGCAGTAAACAACAATCGAGTAGGAGTCCTTATCAAATCTCCAAACTCCGAGTCGTCCAGTAACAGAACCTGATTCCATAGTCGCTTCACTAATTCCAATGCTTGTATTTGCATCAACTTTTTGTCATATATCACCTTGAATCCTGGAACTGCATGCAGTGTCGAGTCAAACTAAGTATGTGAAGCATGACGAAATAGTATTTATGTTGCATACCTAAGAATGTCAGGACTTTCCAAAGTAGCACTTTCAAGATAGGAACCACTGCAAAAAAGAACAACTAAGAGATGATAAGAAACAAGATGTATCCGAGTAAAAGAAAATAAGAAAAGTTTCATATTTTTTTGGATGACATGTTCAAGTTAAAACAAAAGCTAATTAGGGGACAAATACAGTCACAGGTAACAAGTTACCCCGCGGCCCAAAAAAAAAGTAACAGGACATTGATTGAATCAGGAACACATTGAATATGATCAATCATTGTTACCATAAAATTATATGACAGGATCTACCCCCAAAGCTGAAGATTGAGAATTGGCCAAAGACATTTGCTGGTTGGCTAGCAAATTGTGCCCAGAAAGTTCATTCGTGTTGAAGAGAGGACCATCACTATAACATCCCTCTTCCTCATTAGTTACTAATATTTTGGATTGAGTAGAATAATAATAATAATAATTGTTAATAGTGAGTGGTTTATGGTACATCTAGAACTAGAAATCAATTATGTTAGTGTGTTTGGATTTGGAATTTTAGGTAACTCTTTTAAAAAGTGGTATTTGAAAAATAAAATATTTTTGAATTTTGTTTATGTGGGTATGTTAAGAACTATTATAATCCCTGCATAATTATAATAATAAAAATTATCATATGCGTATTAATCCAATTTTTTGTTCTTTTGATTTACTCCAATTTTGTTCTTTTAATGCCTTATAAAGAGAACATTTTAATATTGTTGATACTTTCCACTGGGAATATACATACAGACATGCATACACACACACATACATACATACATACATATATATATATATATATATATATATGAAAGAATTCGTCTTATCCAAAATGCTAGGATTTTAATAGGAATAAAAACAAGAAAACTAAAGAAAATATGAAGGATTGAGGATCAAATTCTTCTTTTACATAGAAGCAATTATCAGCTTAATATGAAAATTTTATGGATTGATGTGAATCCAATATCTGAAGGCCAAGGCCACTTCTTTCTTATCCATCATAGATGTGATGGACCCTTTTTATAAGATATCTGATCAAATAGATGTGCAGACACTATTAATCATGACACCACTGTCCAATACTTGTCATCACTATTTATTCAAAAAGAGGAAGTCTGCTGTACCTGTTTGTCATGAATTGTATATGTTCCTACTCCTATCATTTTCTCACATTTTAAAGTCCTTCCAAGTACAGGAAATGAAAAAACAGGTGACATTAGTACACATTGGTGGACATCTCCTACCATCGAGATTTTAGAGAATTTCTATGCTCACACCCAGTCCCAATTGGAACCTGAAAAACATGTCGTTGCTCACAAATAATAAATGTAAACAACAATGTTGAATAAGTGAAATTTGACAATAGCTTAACATTTTAGTATTCAGTAATCATTTGAAAAATGGATCACAGAGAGAGAGAGAGAGAGAGTACCGTGTAAGAGTAGACGTATTAATTTTCCATGGCTTCTGTAAGAAGAGGGATAATTGCTTGGCAGCTCCATAAGGAGACCTGCATAGGTGAGAGAAAATCAAATATCATCTAAATTATTTTAAATTGATCATGGAACCTCAAGGTATAGTGTGGGATGAAGAAGGCTAATCTGGGAAAGATAATAATAGTTATAATCTCAACAAATTAACAAATTAAGGACAGAATTAGGATGAGCTTACAAAAATATAAGGCTTCATGCCAATGAAGCTGCAAATAAGGAAGTAACCATTAACTGAAAAAATTCATCCTCTTTCTCAATTTAATGTTATAATTAACTAATATAAGTCAAAAACCATTGATGTAGGACTAGGGATTGTGTGACCAACAGGATGAATTCCTTGTAGATCAAGGATTGTGTAATCAACACCCAAAAACACTAATCATCTAGACAGTGTGATGATGAATAGAAGAATTCAAGCAATTAGATTGCTAGAATGCACTCAAGTTTTCCTCACAATGTGTTATGCTCGATGCATGCTTGTTTTCTGGAAGTATAGGGTCTTTTATATAGACCTTTGAGGTTCACCTAGATATATTTATTAAGAAAAACAAAAATTAAATGCTACAGATATTAAATATATTATACATATTTAATACATAGACACAATTTACATTTATACCCTTTGTTAAATCTTGAAATCTCAGTTTTGCCTTTGGTTTTAGTTTCTTAAGCAAATAAAGATTATAATATATAATACATAGATATAACACTATTAGTTTGTGTTGTACAGAAAGCCAACGCAACCGAAAATCTTGAGCTAGCTCTAATCTCCAGTGATGAAGGGGACACCTGCATCTTGGCAATTGGTGGGTTCAACCGCTAGAGGAAATCTCCAATTACCGTAAATCCACCTTTAGCATGTCTCACCCTCCTCTTTCTCCTCCTCTATTTTATTTTTCCTTTTTCTTTTTTGAAATCACAAACCCTAGTTTCTTATTCTCCAATTTTCTGTTTCAAAAGATAAATCTACCAAAAGCAGCTATTTTTTCTTGTGCATCTTTTTCACAAAATGGCATCTATATGTATTAGACTATCACATCTTTTGATTGAAAAAATCCTAATTAAATGATAAATCACCGAAATACAATAGTTCAATGGAATTTTTCATTAAACGTTTTGCATTAATCTGAATTTAGTTTAGAGCAATTGAAATATAAAAAATAATATTGATATATGTATATACATGTATATATTTTGCAGTTATTTCAAACAGTATTATACATTCAGTTGCAAAATCGTAAAAAGTTTGATTCATGTGATCAAATGTGATAGGCACTCTTCTTGAATCCCATTACATGGTTACCATATTAGTAATTTCTTTTTTATTTTTAGCTTTTACTTTATTTAACACAAAGCAGCTATGAGGTATCGTCTTCTCCTTTTCAACTAAGGATCATGTGATGTCCCAAGCCGTTTGGGGGGAGAAGTCCCTAATAACCGGAAATGGGAGGATCATGCATGATCCCATGAGGGTCACACCAGTGAGGACGTTAGGTCCCTAGAGGGGGTGATTGAGAGGTCCCAAATCCTGAAGGGAGAAGTTGATGTCACTTATAAGGGGGGATGCCTCCTAACTGTGTAGATGAGTTCTGAAAAGCGTGAGCACAAAGAGGGTGCAAAGTGAAAAATATCTACACAGCGTGGGAGGGATCTTGACAGATGTTATTAGAGACAATCTTGAGCTGAAACTGGGAGGAGCATGCCCAATCCATGAGAGTCATGCCAGCAAGGGCGATAGGTCCCCAAGAGAGGGTGATTATGACATCCCACATCGCCAGGGGGAAAAGTTGTTAGCACTTATAAGGGGGGATGCCTCCTACCTATGCCGCGTTTTGAAAACAGTGAACGCAAAGAGTGCAAAGCAAACATTATCTACAGATTCTACACAGCATGGGCCAGGTCCTATCAGAACATCTCTCACGTGTTATAATCGAAGATACCATTACCTTGTTGCCCTCATTGTGATCGGTGTAGATTCTTCCTCTCTAGAGTTTCGACCGATCGGTTTGACAACCAAACTGAAAGTGTCATCACCATAAAACCCCTCCTTCGGATTGAATCCCTGGCAACCAGTCTCACTTTGTAGCATTCCATCGAACATTTTGACTTCTCTTTGTTTTTTTATACCCATATACATTTCTTTTAGGGTTGTTTGGAACGTATAAGGGACCAAGTCCGATTACTCAAGAAGGGCATTGAACTCATGCAACAAAGCACTTGACTACTTCATCCAAAGTTATATACTGGTGAAAATTGGTGTGGAGAACCACTAAACAAGACGTACTATTTCTGACTTATTCTCCTTATATTATTAATTGATAATTGAAAAAATAAATGTGAATAATGATAGTTGATATGTCAGCACATGTGATTTGTTCCAGTTTTTTCTTAATTGTTTATTTTTCCTTACTACATGTGATTTGGCTAGATGTATTTTTGCATGCATTTAATAGATAGTTGTTGCATGCATATATTACGTAATTTCTTGTTTGACAAATCTTGAGCTCCAGGGAATTATAATCGTTGTCCAACAAGGAATTGGGTTTGGAACTCTATAAATAGGCACCTAGGTTATGGGTTAAGACTTATGACATTGAGAGAGATGTAGTCTTATAAGGGAGTTGATGCGTAGAGATAGTTTATGAGTTGGTAGAGTAGGAAAAACACTAGTGGCACTGGTAGCAATGAGATAGGCTCGTGGAGTGGTACATGGTGAAAAGACATGTATGCAGTGTCAGTACTCTTCTATTGTAATATCTCTACGAAAATCATAGCGGAATCTCTTCTCATCCGTAAACCGGTTTTGGTCGAACCACGCCATATCTTGTGCTTTTGTGATTGTTTTGTCAGCTTTCATTGGATACCTTTGTTCGTGCACTTTCGCTGCCCAACAAATTGGTATTAGAGTCGAAGGTGAGGGAGATCCAGAAAACACAAGGAGTCTCAATAGGTTTTAGTTGCAGGTGGAGTCAATCAGCTTGGTTGATCATGATGGTTAGAAAATCATGATAGGTTTCATAGCATGGAGATCGAGTAATCTAGGAGGAGCCTTGGAGGTTTGACTGATCAAGTTGCGAACATGGTGGACAATCAGTGTTATAGGAGGATCGTGGCATCTTGGCATGCAATCCGAAGGTAAATGAGGAACTGGCTCCATGGGAAAGTCCCAAAATTAAGTTAACAGAGTCATAATGACAGTCCGTGGGTGGAAGTCCTCGAAGAGTTTTAGTTTTGTGTGCAGAATTGAAGATGCAAAACAATTGTGCAGATCAATGTTGTGGAAAGTCATGATTGACTGGATGAAATTTGAGCAAGGTGGAGATTGTTGGAATTGTGTCTCAAATTCCTATTGTAGTTAGGTTTCTATTTCATAGTAGTATTTTATTAGGTAATTTCATGTTTTGCAAGTCTTGGGCTCCAAGGAATTGTAATCCTTGTCGAATAAGGAATTGGGTTTGGAATTCTATAAAAAGGCACCTAGGTTAAGGGTTGAGACTTGTGAGAATTTTTTTTTTTTTTTTTTTTTTTGGAAGTTAAAGCAATTACACACACACTCTACTTCCACCGAGGTTCGAACCCCCGACCTCACCTTTGGTGGGAAGGGGTGATACCGCTGGCCAATTGGTCCTTTGGTTGAGACTTGTGAGATTGATAGAGTCTCATGAGGGAGTTGATGGGTAGAGATAGTTTATGGGTTGGTAGAGTAAGAAAAACACCAATGGCACTAGCAGCGAGAAGATAGGCTCGTAGAGTGGTACATGGTGAAAAAACATGTACGCGGTATTGGTACTCTTCTGTTGTAATATCTCTATGAAAATCATAATGGAATCTCTTCTCATCCGTGGATGCAGGCCAGTTTTGGTTGAACCACGTTATATCTTGTGTTTTTGTAATTGCTTTGTTGGCTTTCATTGGATCTCTTTTGTTTGTGCATTTCTGCTTCCCAACAATAATGAAATATTTTTGGCTTATAAATAGTGTTCTATTAGATTTCCTCTTATATTAGGGATGTATTATAAACTCTACTAGTTTGGCCCAATCTTGGCTCCACCCCTATATCATACTATATTCATAGAGTGAGTAAGGGGCGAGATCATATTACTCGTTATATATGTGGATGACATAGTGGAGACAAGAGATAACGATGAGTAAGTTTCTAGATTATAAGTCTGCTTAGCTAGGGAGTTCTAAATTAGGTACTTGCAAAGTATACGCTTTGAAGATGCTAGATCAAAAAAGGGCATCTTTATTTCTCAATGGAAATACATTCTTAATATGTTGAAAGAGACGTATATGTTAGGATGCAAACCAATAGACTCACCTATTGAAACTAATCACGGCCTTAAAAGTGGTGAAGGCAATAAAGTAGATAAGGTGGGATATTAGAGATTGGTGGGTAAACTTGTATATCTCCTCATACTCGTTTAAGGGTGCAACTTGGGTGGGCCAACCCGAACCCAACTCGAGCCTAACCCGATTTTTCAAGAACTTGGGCAATCATTTTAATAATTAGGCTTGGGCTTGGGTTGAAAAATATCAACCCTAACTTAATTAGGGATGGGCTTGGTTTAACGTGCAAACAATCTGAACCCGAATTCAATTTTTTTATTTTTTATTTTAAGTATATTTTATATGAATTGGGCTTGGGTTGGTTAGCTCGAGGTGAATTTTGGATTAGGGTTGAACGTATTATATATTGAGTTGAGCGGCTTAAGCCTAAGTTAAACCTCTAACCCACCCGAGTTGTACCCTACACTCGTCCAGACATAGTCACATGGCATATGCAGTAGGAGTTTCAAGTCAATTTATGCATGATCCTCCAATCACTAATGTAGGGGGTGTCTACGCCTTTTGAGACATAAAAAGTTTGCTTCCACCAAAGGTATATTGTTTGCCAAGCTTGGTCACCTTAAACTAGAAGCCTTCACTGATGTTGATTGGGCGTGTTTGAGTGATGATAGATGATCCACTTCTAGTTATTACAACTATGTAGGAAGAAATTTAGTCATGCAGTGAAGAAAAAAGTAATCAATTGTGGTTAGATCCGGTGCGCAAGTTGAAGATAGAGCCATGGCTCATAGAACATGTGAGCTTATTATGGCTCCAGACTTTGATGAAAGACTTGCGAATCATCAGCGATGGGCTATGAAGTTTTACAGTGATACAAGGAAGCTATCAATATTGCCGCATAACCCAATTCAACATGATTTAAAAGAAGCATAATGAAATTGATATAAACTCTATCAAAGAGAAGCTGAATGATGGAGTTATTTGTTTGCCCTTTGTGAAGTCAAGGGAACAGTTAGCTGATTTATTCGGACTTAGTAGCAATTTGTCTCATCTCTTGTATGCAAATTAGGCATGGAGGCAGGGACATATCTACTGTGGGCTCAGTGGGGGCATCCGCCCCCACTGAAATTTTTTGTTATTGCATTTTATACCCTTAAATTTGTACTTTTTTGCATTTATACCCATAAAATTTTGAAATTGCCTCCACTGAAATTATGAAAAAAAAAAACCATCTATATAAATTCCCCCACCCCCCCCCCCCCTCCCCTCCCCCCCCAACATAAATTTCTAGATCCGGCCCTGAATGGAGGATATCTATGCACCAAATTGAGGGAGTGTTAGAATATTTTGATATGTTAGAATATTCTAGATGGGGCTAATTTTCAATTTGTCACTCATTCAATGAAATATAGATACAAGTGGGTGCAAAGAAGATTATGATTTTGTCCAACCCTTCTTCTTCCCTCTCTCTCTCTCTCTCCCCTTCAACCCTAGTTTCATAATATTGCATTTCATCTATCATCATTTCAGATTTACAGATTTTTGACATAAAAATTATAATAGTACTTATAAGAAGAACTTTATAAATTGTTGCCCTCATGGTGACAGTGAAAATCCTTCCATTCTTATGTAGTTGTAGCTAATTAGTCCAATTCCCAGCATATTTATGTTGACCTTGGTAGTAAAATATAGAGAAAGGAAGGTTAACAAAACAAAAACTCACCCACTATAACAAGTTTCAAAATAGTAAACAATAGTCAAGAAATTGGTTACTAACATGAGTAGATGCACCTCTGCCAGAGTCCAAGCTGACTTCCACTGCAAAATGCTGAAGGCTTTCTAGACAAAACGTGAAGTGCTGTGTCCCCATTTCCATCCCGTGATATAGCTAAAAAAGGGTAGTGTTCAATCATGTCCAAGGCTACATCTAGTAGTCAAAAGAATATTGTCATTATTTCCAACAATACCCTTTTTAAAATGTTAGTGATATATGATTAATTTAAGTTCATAATGTGTAGACGTGGTAGCTATCATTTTCAAAAGACAAACCTAGATAGGGCAAACGGCATGTTCTGGATAAATGAACTGTATACTTTTAAGGCAAAGAGTTGACACAGATAATTTTGCTTCAATGTACTAACAGAAACTAAAAATATCTTAGACATGCACGCATAATTAAAAGTTCTCTAACCAAATAGATTGGCGGTGATGGCAGCAATAAGAAGCCCAATGAGATCCTCATCTGTTAGTCCTTCAGTTATGGAGTAAAGATACCAAACCATGTCTCTGTGGCCTAATATGGCAGCCATGTACAGTGGCAGTGCTCCTTTACTACCTCTAATCAGTGGCAAGTTTTTGTTCTTATTCACCATCACTTTAGCAATCCTTGTCACTCCAGATGCAGCAGCAAAACAAAGGGCTGTGTTTCCAACCTTGTTCTGCAGTGCCAAGTCATCTGATGTCATCAAATTCACTAGCTCCTCTACAAACCTTGTATGTCTTGCCCCAGCTGCAATATGAAGAGCAGTTTCTGAACCCCTTGTGATCCTAGCACGCATTGCTTGTGGACATAAATCGAGAAAATTTTTAGCCTTTTCCCAGTCACCTTTAAGGGCAGCGAGAAACAGAGTAACATATGCTTTGAGGCCTCTCATCTCTCCTGCATATATATGAGCATCATCCTTTCTTATGTTATTATTACTTATCAAAAATATATATATTTATATGAGCATCAAAAACCATGTTCACTCTTGGGCTTATATTTGAATGTTAGGACTCTGGAACAAAAGGCAGACAACTAGCACTTGGATCTAAAGGGCTCGAGCATGATCCAAAAACATTACATGCGTTCAAATTTCATTGTCCCTACATCCCAAATTATTTGTACCTTTACAGGATTCCAAATTTTCAGAGGGACATGCATTTAATGCATTATCCACTTTTAAAATCCCCAAATTACGCTTTAAAGGTTATACACACACACACATATATATACTAATGTAACGGCACGTGCGTTGCACGCGAGTAAGATCTAATTTGAAACAAAGTATAAATTAACCTTTTAAATCTCATAAGTTCCAACTTTTTGATAAACAATAATTTACTTATATTTAATATACTAAACATTTTTATGATAATAATTCTTAATATAATTAAAGAACTATATCAATTACTATAATGCAGTTTAAAGATGCCATGATTTTCCCTTCTTTTTTCAATTTATGTCCCTAGTGATCGTTATGAATAATAATTTTACATAAATAAATAGCGAGCAAAAAAATTAGAAAATAAAAATTCTTATATTAGTAATTTTACATTAAATTAAGTTAGACAACAGCAAGCAAAATCTTCCAACCAACTCTTACAATATTAGAGAGAGAGGGCGATAAAAAAAATTAGAAAATAAAAATTCTCAACACTACAATGAGTACATAAATAAATACACAAACATAAAAAGATTGAAAAAATATACTTTCTCATACCACTTTGAGAAATGAATAATATTCAGCAAAGCAATAAAATAATTACTCATATATTCAAATAATAATTACAATTACAACATTCTTACAATAATAAATTTAAAAAATGTTTTATAAAACACAATTAACAAAATTCTAAAATTATCAATAATGATCAATGAACATAAAATTGACACAATATAGTCAAAAAACAACTTTTAATTGAGCTTTTCAATAGGGATTCAATCATTGATAGGTGTTTTTTCAAACTCCTAAAACAATTTCAAAATAAAGACTACTTTTTTATTGCAACCTTAGTACTTTTTTTTTTATTCAAAACTATTAATGGAGAAAAACTGTGTGTACAAATTGTTTACAATCAATTTCATTTGTTCATTAATCAAGGTCATGTAATGAAAGAAAAAAACACTTACCAACAATTCACCTAAACAAAAATGTATATATTTCTTTACAAATAATATATACATACACATATATATATATTACCTTATAAAAAATAGTAATTAGTTTTTGGGCAATTGAAAATAGGTTGAAGAATATTATTATTTTTCACCACATATATACACACATGCAAAAGAGAGCAAACTAAAATAATATTATTACTTATAAGTACTACTCTTGTTGTTTATCAAAAACTTGTGAGAAAACTCATCAAGAAACAGTATTAAGAGGGGGAGAGAGAGAGAGAGAGCCAGAGAGACAGTATTAAAAACAAGAGAAAAAATTAGAGTTGGGAGGGAGGACGTATCAGGCGACAAGCTGAAGCAAATTACGTGCCAGACTTTTAAGTTAATTATTATAATAATAGTAGGTTATTTAATTAGTAGTTGAAAGAGTTGTTTCAAATTATGTCGTCGTATATTTCGTACTCCTAATAATTCATATAGAATTATTAGGAGTACGAAATATGCGACGACATAATTTGAAACAATTTAGATATAGATAATAATTTTGATATAGTAGTATAGTTGATATAAGAGTTTATTAATTCAGGAATTTCAATATATTTTGATACAAGAATATAGTTGATATAAAATTCTATTAATTTAAGAATTTTAATATAACTAAATGATTTGAAACACTTTGTACTTTTAATAATATATATATAAGTATATATAGATTAATTATATAGATATATTCCTTCTCTAATTATCTTTCTTTTTTATTGAATTTCAATACTTTGTATTACCTATATTATTTTTATTAACTAAATAAATAATTTTTAAAATATTATATATTTATTTTATAATTAGATTTATTTTTATTGAATTAAATAAATAAAATTTTTAATATTATTTTTTTTTCCTTCTCTAATTAATTTTCTTTTATTGAATTAAATCAATAAGTTTTTAATATTATATATTAATGTACTACTGAAACTCTTTGTACTGAAATAAATATTTTTTTAATATTTTAATACTACATATTTCCTTCTCTAATGAGATTTCCTTTTATAAAATTAAATATTACATATTAATGTGTTTCCTTCTCTAATTAGAGTTTTTAATATTATCTATTTCCTTCCCTTTAATTATATATTTCCTTCTCTAGTTAGATTTTTTTTTACTAAATTAAATAAATAAGTTTTTTAATATTATAATTAATTAATGAATACTGAAACACTAAAGATCTTTGTACTTTTAATAATAGTATAGTAGAAATATAAAAAGAAGAAAAATGAGAGAATTGTGTAAAGGCTTGAATGAGATGAATCACTCATTCGCAAATCTAGGATTTATAGATAAAAAATAGCACATGCTCATATTACAAGAAAGGAAACTAATTAAATCACAACATATTCTAGAGCATATTCTATGGCATATTCTATAGCACAATCAAATCTCTGCTAATATGGTAAATCATTCTATAAATCATGGCTATCATATTTGTTAACACATGCATAGTCAAATATCTGCTATTATGGTAAGTCATTCCATAAATCGTGGATATCATATATGCTAACACTCCCCCTCAAGTTGGTGTGTGGATATCTGAAACGTCCAACTTGAATAATGCATTCTCAAAGACAATCTTGGTAACGCCCTTTGTAAGAATGTTTGCAAGCTACTGAGAGCTTGTGATAAATGGAGTGCAAATTTGACCAGAGATGATCTTCTCTCGAATGAAGTGACGGTCCACCTCTATATGCTCAGTCTTGTCATACTGAACGGGATTTGCTGCTATATCAGTAGGGTGAGAATGGAAGCGACACTGGAAGGCACAAATCTGTCGTCAAGGTTTTCAGCCATAGCAACTCACATACCCCAAGAGCCATAGCCCTATACTCTATTTCATCACTAGATCGAGGGACAACATCCTGCTTCTTACTGCGCCAAGTAACCAAGTTACCACCAATAGTGGTATAATAACCCGAAGTTGACCTCTTATGTGAAACTGATCCTGCATAATCAGCATATGTCCAAGCCTTAACACTTAAGTGACCTTGATTGGCAAACAAAATACCACGGCCCGGACACCCTTTTATGTAGCGAAGGATGCGAATAGCTGCATCAAGGTGAGGGGTACCAGGAGAGTGCATGAATTGACTCACGACACTCACGGCGTAAGCAATGTCAGGTCGAGTCGTAGATAAATAGATGAGCTTCCCCACAAGTCGTCGATACTGACTAACATCTGAAAACAACTCCCCCTCAGAATTAGCCAACCGATGATTCTGCTCAATCGGAGTATCAACGGGACGAGTGCCAAGTTGACCAGAAGCAGAAAGCAAGTCAAGAACATACTTGCATTGAGAGATGAAAGTGTCAGCCCTTGAGCGAGCCACCTTAATGCCCAAGAAGTACCGTAGGGGACCAAGATCCTTAATCTCAAATTGACGGCCAAGATATCTCTTAACCTCAGCAATTCCGGTAGTATCATCGCCGGTAAGAACAATATCATCGACATACACAATGAGAGCAACTGTCTTACTGCCTAAATGACGTAAAATCAAGGTATGATCAGCTACACTTTGATAGAAACCAAACTTGAGCATGGCAGTGCCAAAGCAATCAGACCAAGCTCGAGGAGATTACTTGAGGCCATACAGAGAATGACAAAGACGACATACCATTCCAGAATGAGCAGGAGAACAAAAGCCCGTAGGAGGAACCATGTCCTCCTCTTTCTGTAAATCACCATTGAGAAAGGCATTCTTGACATCTAACTGAAATAGAGGCCAAGATCAAATCGCAGCAACGGAAAATAATACACGGATGGTATTCATCTTGGCAACAAGGGCAAAAGTCTCATGATAATCTATGCAATAAGTCTGAGCATAACCCTTGGCAACCAACCGGGCCTCGTAACGAGCAACTGACCCATCAGGATTATGCTTAACTACAAACACCCAACGACAACCCACAACCTTTCGTCCAATAGGAAGCGGAACCATGTCCCAAGTCTGATTTTTCTCAAGTGCTTGTAGTTGTTTTATCATAACATCTCGACATTGAGGTTATGCTAGTGCATCTGCAACACTAGAAGGAAGAGGAACGAGGCAATAGAAACAAGAAAACTCCGATAGGAGGGTGAAAGAGCATAATCAGAAACAAAATTAGAAATAGGGAATGTACAAAAACGTTTACCCTTTCGAAGAGCAATGGGGCGATCATCAAGTGAAACAATAGCTTGAGAAGGCGGAACTGGTGCCGAAGGAACAGGATATTCGATCGTGGGAGTAGAAGCTTGTACCTGTTGTCTCCGACTATAAACCTGTAAAAAATGAACAATTCCCCCTGCTGGAGGGGTATCACAAGGAGGAATCATAGAAGACAAAACAAGTAATGGTAGAGGAGTTGAAGACGGAAAAAGGTAATCATCCATTATATTCAATGGGAACCATTCACTTTGAGAACTAACTGAACCACTATAGTATGGTGTACGCTCAAAGAAAGAAACATCCATGGATATAAACCGCTGACGACTGGGAGGACGGTAAGACCTATAACCTTTTTTAGGTGAGAATAGCCCAAAAACACGCACTTCAAAGCCTTGAGGTCAAGCTTTGTACGAGTCTGCCCCAACTGCTGAACAAAGCACACACACCTGAAGACTCGCGGAGGAATAAAAAAAAGAGATGGAATTGGGATTTAAGATTGAGAGTGGGGCTGCAAAGTTAAGAACCCTAGAAGGAGTCCTATTAATGATGTAAATAGCTGTAAGAACTGCATCTCCCCAA